CATTAGGTCCGTCAGACTGAAGATATTTTAGCGGTAATGAGACCAAAAATATTTAAGACCCATCGAATCCGAATTTAAGACATTTTAAGGCCTTATATTAGGAAAACGTTATTTAAGACATTTTAAGACTTTTTAAGGACCCGCGGACACCCTGCTAGTGCTAAAGTCGCGCTCGTGAGTGTGAGACGCGGGAGCTGATAGCAGGGGGCGGTGGATATCTGTGGCGGTCAATGTGGATATTGTGGATGAGTTCTTCTGTGTCATCACGTTCTATTAGTTCTACAGCTTCAGTTTCGGAACTTTCACGCTTAGTAACACATACAGCTGTTCCCTCACCACAGTGCAACAGTGAAAAGGGACCCCTTTCAAACAGTGTCGCGTTCCCAACGTTGTTTAAGCGACATACACCGATATTGCGGTATTTTAAAAATTCATATCATAACAAAAATAAACACCGGTATTCGGTATGAACCGGTATACCGCCCAGCACTACTCTACATGCTCAAATATATATATTCTTCATGCTTTTGAAGAGAAGATTCTTTGGGATGCAGAATCTGTTTGGCTGGTTTGAGCTGAGCAGATGAACTAGCGTTCAATGTGAGGGGGCAAAAGAGAAAATGCAGGGTATGTCAGACCGGCTTTGCCAGGAACACGTCACTACAGCAGCTGTAACTGCGGTTATACATTCTGCAAACAAGTGACTGTCACATAAACAGCGTTGTCTGTACGAATAAATTACAAATACAGGAGCGCACACATAAGCTGCTGTTCAAAAGTTTGGGGCAGGTATGATTTTTTAAAAAGATTGTAGTATAAATAAATTATCTTATACTTTCCAAAGGCTGCATTTATTTGATAAAAAAAAATTTAAAATTAAAAAAATAAAGTATAATTGTGAAATATTACTACAATTGAAAAACAACCGTTTTCCTTTTTAAATCAAATAAAAATGTAATTTATTCCTGTTATGGCAAAACTGAATTTTCAGCAGCCATTAGTCATCAGCGTCACATGATCCTTCAGAAATAATTCTAATATTTGGTGATCAAGAAACATTTCTCATTATTATCAATGTTGAAAACAGGTGTGCAGCTTAATATTTTTGTGAAAGCCATGATACTTTTTTTCAGGACCCTTTGATGAATAGAAAGTTCAAAAGAAAAGCATTAATAATGTCATATGTAAATGTTTTTCTGTGACATTTGATCAATTCAATGCATCCTTGATTAATAAAAGTATTCTTTTCTTTTAAAAATAATTATTGCCCCTAACTTTTGAACAGTAGTGTATAAAAAAAAAAAGTTATTTGCCATTTAAAAACAATGTATTTGATCTTATTTGTTATCGGTCATGACATAAAAATACTTTCTTGAAAATTTCAATTCTCCTTTCTGTACAGTTCCTTTATTTTAATTTTTTTATGACAGATTAAGTGGTGGTGTGTTTCAGAGATAAAGATGATCTCTCACCGTAGGAGTACGTGTCTGGCAGAGGCACTCCATGCCCGGCGAGCTCTTGGAAGGTCCAGAACTTGTTGACACAGTTGAGGATGGCCTGAGGCCGGTTGACCAGACGACAGCCCATCTTCTCCAGGTGACGCAGAACAGTGATGTCGCTGTCCGACTGGACCCATGGGGTCGGAACGCGCACCACAGCAACTTGCGGGTATGATGTAACGATTTCCTGCCCAACCCGCAGACCTGAAAGAAAGGGAAGATAAATCACAATGCTGCAGTACGGTCAGTGCAGTCTGTGTTTTGGCCGGCACAGTATTGTGTGAAGGGATTACACTGGTTGTATCTGGGCAACCAATGAGAGCCAGACTTTCATTTGGATGGGTCACCCCTTTCTCTCTCACACATACACACACACTCAGTATGACAGATGAGCTGGCCTTAGTTTCCAAAACGACACACACGACAGCATCTCTGCAATACTAAATAGCTGATCTCCTTCTGAGAGCCATTACACAACACTGCAGAAAGTTGCTCGCTTGCTTTGCCTCGTTATTGCGACGTTCACGCTGACCCACTAACCCAGTTTGCACTGCTTTCTGCTTTTAATTAAGATGCCAGTTAGGTTTTATGCTCACTTAAAACCAGCCTTCACTTAGTAAAAACTAAAATCACTCTGGCACTCGTTGGATTTTACTTCACAAATCATGCGTTTTGACTCGGATTATGAATACAAGAGCAATCAAACTTTAATAAAAATGGCAAATATGTAATTTTGTTGTTTGGATGGAACAGAACACACTAAACAGCAGATGATGACAAGAAAGGATTTCAGAGATTACAAAGGCAAGCATGTGTGAGCATTTAGGAGATAACAGGAAATGTAAAACGGAGGATATAAAAGGAGCCATGAAAGAACAAGAGAAAGACAAAACATGAATGCGTCACAGAATTTCTAATCTCTCCAGCTTCTCTGCCATCTTAGGATGGAGCAACACGCACAAACCACGACTCAGCATCTTCACTAGCAACTGCTACATCAGCACTCCCTCTTCCTCTCATGGATCAAAGCAGATGGGACTTGAATGCATGCAGTTAGGAGTATGACAGGACTATACAGGCATGACGAGACAGATATTATTGATTTTCAAAAATAAATTTAAGTATATATCACTATTTACTGTATTGACTGAATAGACAGTTGTCTGCTTTGAATTTTTGATATCTTATAGCTCTGTTCTAAAACTTAGTGAGTTCCCTACATAGGCAGCATCCTAGACGTCATAGAACCTCATACGTTGCTCTACACAGACAACAACTCTGCACATTAGATGCTACACAAATAGCACTCACATGCTGGAAACTCGTAATGTCACGATTGATTTTAATAGAATTTCAGTTTAGCATATTGCGAACCTAAAAGCGTAACACTTGAAAAAAAGAATACAAAGATCACACAAATATTGGGTGCACCACTTCATTTCTTCATTATTACAACAAACCATGAAATATCTACACAATAATTGTGTAATATTACAAGTTAAAATAAAAAAAGTGATATCTATTTTAATATATAATAAAATACAATTAATTCTTGTGATGGTAAAGCGGAATTTTCAGCAGGCATTACTCCAGTCTTCAGTGTCACATGATCCTTCAGAATCATTCTAAAATGCTGATTTGGTGCTAAAGTAACATCTTTATTTCAAACTTTTGAACGGTAGTGTATACTCATAATTGACATTTCTCTCGCCATGTCCACTATCTTGGATGGTGTCAGTGGCTCACTAAATTTTGAAACCGCAGATAATTCTTACTCAGTATTTTCTTAAAACTGATTAACATGGCAGCACATTTATTTTTTTCATTGGTTGTAATCATGCTAATTTATTGACTTCAGTTTTTTTTTTAACCCCACAACCTGGGGGGAAAAAACAGTACATATATATATATATATATATATATGCCAACTGTAACCAAAAAGGTACACTAACAGATCAGGCTCATACCGGTCTGACTAATTTCCGGAGGAAATGACAGTCATACACTCACTGTGACAATAAGAAATCAGCCCTCAAGCACTTGTAAGTGTACACATCTTTATTTGTTTTATCTTACATGCATGAGTTAATAAAAGACAATCAAGTTTTTTTTTCTGCCTGAGGCTCAATCAGTAAATGTATCCACAGACTCAGAAAACATAGCACAAATGCCGTCTACCTCCTTCACTTCCCCCTTCTGTCAGTTCTGTGGCAGCTGTCTCACTGTGGGTAAATGGCTCGTTTCCACTGAGCGGTACGGTACAGTACAGTACAGTACGATTCGGTACGGGTAACCCTGATCGGGCTTGCGTTTCCACTGCCAATAGTACCCTTCTTGATAATAGCCATTATAAAAGTATAAGTACAAAGTATAAGAGGCTTATATAAGAGGAAATAAAGACAAAAGCAAACAATTAAGTCAAACGTATGCTACAAAGTCAGCACTGTACTACGGTAAAGTTCAAAATAAATATATAAAGTTAAACATAACTTTGTGCTCAGCCAAAACGATATGACCAGGAATAAATAATAGATTCATGAGACCACGAATGCCTGTTAAATATAGCCTACCCAAAACGAAATGCTTTATCCCCTTGTATCACGCAAAAGTGACGATTATAGTCAACCAATCAACGTTCTGCAGTGAGTTTAGCTCCACCCTTTTGGTACCCTTTGCTGTGCTAGGTACCCCAACGGAAGGGTAACAAAAAAAGTGGTACGGTTCGCTATTTTGGTACCATTCACAACTTCTGGCAGTGGAAACGGAAACAATTGCGTACCGTACTGTACCGAACCGTAACGCTCAGTGGAAACGAGCCATAAGAAACACAACTGACTCACACTAAATCCAGAGCAAGTGAGAATTTCAGGGTAACCTACTGTGTTAAGTACAGTATAGACGCAGGTTTAACCTACTTCAGAGGTGTGCTTTGAGGGTGAGGTGAGCTGGTATTAGATACAGGTAGGTAAACAGACAAAACAAACAAGTAACAAGACAAGTAACCCCCATTAACAGATACCACAGCTAATCGCACAGTGTCTGGACAATACCACACAATTACTCAATATAAACTTCTGTTCAAAAATGTGGGGTTGGTACAATTTTATGTTTTTGAACGACAGCTCAGGCTTACCAAGACTGCATTTGTTTGCTAAAAAAAAAAAAAAAAA